TTGAGCAGAGAGAGGGGTTTGAGCAGAGAGAGGGGTTTGAGCAGAGAGAGGGGTTTGAGCAGAGAGAGGGGTTTGAGCAGAGAGAGGGGTTTGAGCAGAGAGAGGGGTTTGAGCAGTAAGAGGGGTTTGAGCAGTAAGAGGGGTTTGAGCAGAGAGGGTTTGAGCAGAGAGGGGTTTGAGCAGTGAGAGGGGTTTGAGCAGTAAGAGGGGTTTGAGCAGAGAGAGGGGTTTGAGCAGAAAGAGGGGTTTGAGCAGAGAGAGGGGTTTGAGCAGAAAGAGGGGTTTGAGCAGTGAGAGGGGTTTGAGCAGTGAGAGGGGTTTGAGCAGTAAGAGGGGTTTGAGCAGAGAGAGGGGTTTGAGCAGTGAGAGGGGTTTGAGCAGAGAGAGGGGTTTGAGCAGAGAGAGGGGTTTGAGCAGAGAGAGGGGTTTGAGCAGAGAGAGGGTTTGAGCAGTGAGAGGGGTTTGAGCAGAAAGAGGGGTTTGAGCAGTGAGAGGGGTTTGAGCAGTAAGAGGGGTTTGAGCAGTGAGAGGGGTTTGAGCAGAAAGAGGGGTTTGAGCAGTAAGAGGGGTTTGAGCAGTGAGAGGGGTTTGAGCAGAGAGAGGGGTTTGAGCAGTAAGAGAGGGGTTTGAGCAGTGAGAGGGGTTTGAGCAGTAAGAGGGGTTTGAGCAGTAAGAGGGGTTTGAGCAGTGAGAGGGGTTTGAGCAGAGAGAGGGGTTTGAGCAGTAAGAGGGGTTTGAGCAGAGAGAGGGGTTTGAGCAGTAAGAGGGGTTTGAGCAGTAAGAGGGGTTTGAGCAGTAAGAGGGGTTTGAGCAGTAAGAGAGGGTTTGAGCAGTGAGAGGGGTTTGAGCAGAGAGAGGGGTTTGAGCAGTAAGAGAGGGGTTTGAGCAGTAAGAGGGGTTTGAGCAGAAGAGAGGGTTTGAGCAGTAAGAGAGGGGTTTGAGCAGTAAGAGGGGTTTGAGCAGTGAGAGGGGTTTGAGCAGAGAGAGGGGTTTGAGCAGTGAGAGGGTTTGAGCAGTAAGAGGGGTTTGAGCAGTAAGAGGGGTTTGAGCAGTAAGAGGGGTTTGAGCAGAAAGAGGGGTTTGAGCAGAGAGAGGGGTTTGAGCAGTAAGAGGGGTTTGAGCAGTGAGAGGGGTTTGAGCAGAAAGAGGGGTTTGAGCAGTGAGAGGGGTTTGAGCAGTGAGAGGGGTTTGAGCAGTGAGAGGGGTTTGAGCAGTAAGAGGGGTTTGAGCAGTGAGAGGGGTTTGAGCAGTGAGAGGGGTTTGAGCAGTAAGAGGGGTTTGAGCAGTGAGAGGGGTTTGAGCAGTAAGAGGGGTTTGAGCAGTGAGAGGGGTTTGAGCAGTGAGAGGGGTGTGAGCAGTGAGAGGGTTTGAGCAGTGAGAGGGGTTTGAGCAGTGAGAGGGGTTTGAGCAGTAAGAGGGGTTTGAGCAGTAAGAGGCATGGCTGCAACGGCTGATCTGTTAATCAATGTCTTTCAAATATAGCATGATGGTCCACTTTAAAGGAGCCTCTTTAAAGCGCAGTGATGTTCCCTCAGGCTGATCTTCCCAGGAGTGAAGCTAGCAGCAGATAAACACTTCTCTGGCTTCCTGGAGAACCTCGGCCCCGCCCAGCTGGCCGGGAGGCAGACGCTGGCCACGCCCCCCATGGGTAACAGCCAATCACAGGCCTTCATCTCTATAAACACACCTGATGTTCAAGTGTTTATATTTACACAATAAATGAGTTATATTTATATATTAGTGTTTATATTTACTCATTATTTATATTGGTTAATAACTGTAACATCACGTAATGAGGCGCTCTAATTGGCCGCTGGTGGTCAGGTGATATTCAGATCGGGATGGTGTACAGGAAGGAGCGTCTGGACGTGGAGGTGATACGAGCCCGCGGCCCGCGGGTAAACAGGGCACCAAAGAACAACACACCAGGAACACACACACACACACACACACACACACACACACACACACACACACACACACACACACACACACACACACACCACACACACACACACACACACACACACACGTTGAACTCTGTGAGGAGCATCCATCTGGCTGCATCTTGATAAGTATCTCTATATTCCATGTTCGTGTACACAGACTCTATTTCTATGTTATTTTATTAACTTGCTCGTCTCAACACATTCTCTTCACTATTTGATCTGTTTTATTAGTTTGATGTCTTCTATATCTTCATGTTGCTCTGCTGGAGGAGGACTTCAGGCTCTCCTCTCCATCTCTCCTCTGAAGCTGCTGAGCACTTGGTGAGAGAGACTTGAATATTATTGAATTCCAGCTCCGTGCTCTTCTGGTTCCGAACCGGTTCTTCTCTGTAGCCTCAGGTGTGTTTCCACCGCTCAGAGCCCGACAGGTGCTGCGTCATGACGTCACCGTTCACAGCAACAGCAGCAACAACAACAACAACAACAACAACAACAACAACAACGGGGGACTGCGTCGGGTCAATGATCGTGTTGCTTTTAATCATACAGAGCCAGATTAAGTTAAATAACTACTTCTCCAACCTTACATCTTTCTCCAGAGTGCCCTGGTTCATTTACCGTCTCTTTCTGTCCTTTGATCTCCGACAGCCGAGGGGGGTCACCGCTCCCTCCAGAACCACAGAGAGGTTCTACTTCCTGTTGGTCTCCAGCTGAGTGTGAATCACTCCCTACTACTTCCTGTTGGTCTTCAGCTGAGTGTGAATCACTCCCTACTACTTCCTGTTGGTCTTCAGCTGAGTGTGAATCACTCCCTACTACTTCCTGTTGCCCTCCAGCCTCATGCAGCCTCAGGTGCTTCTTCAGGCGTCCGGTGACGGCGAAACTCTTCCCGCAGACGGAGCAGCTGAAGGGTTTCTCTCCGGTGTGGACCCTCATGTGGATCTTCAGGCTGCCCCTCTGGGTGCATCTCATCCCGCAGACGATGCAGCTGAAGGGTTTCTCCCCTGTGTGGACCCTCATGTGTTTGGTCAGGTCCCCCTTCTTAGCGCAGCACTTCCCGCAGACGGAGCAGCTGAAGGGTTTTTCTCCGGTGTGGACCCTCATGTGGATCGTCAGGTCCCACTTTTCAGCGCAGCACTTCCCGCAGACAGTGCAGCTGAAGAGTTTCTCTCCGGTGTGGACCTTCATGTGGATCTTCAGGTCTGTCTTCTGCACGAAGCCCTTTCCACAGACGGAGCAGCTGAAGGGTTTCTCCCCCGTGTGGAACTTCATGTGTCGGTTCAGGTACTCCTTGCTGTGGAAGCTCTTCCCGCAGAACAGGCAGCTGTAGGGCTGTTCTCCGGTGTGGATCCTCCTGTGGGCCGCCAGAGAGCCGCTGTCTTTGAAGGTGTTGTTGCAGCCGGTGCAGGGGAAGGGTCTCTCGCCCGTGTGGTCTCTGACGTGCCGGTTCAGGTTCCCCTTCAGGCTGAATCTCTTCCCGCAGAAGGAGCAGGGGAATGGCCTCTCTTTGGGAGACGACCCCACATCGCTCTTCGGAGCGTCCCTGTTCGGGGCCCCGACCCCCGACTGAGCCTCGTCTGGGAAAGACCAGTCACTGTCGTCAGTCTCAGAGGAGTCCAGGGAGTCCTCCTCAATGATGGGTTCTAACCCTGGATCTGGATCCTGGTTCCTGGCTGGTCCTGGTCCTCCACAGTCCTCTCCATCTGGTCCCATATTGTCTCTTTGATGAAGATGAGAGGACTGAGGCTCCTCTTCATCATGTTCACTCTTCACAGGGACAGGAGTGAAGGTGGGCTTTATCTCCTCCTCCTCCTCTTCCTCTTTGATGTGGGGGGGGGGCTCCTCCTGCTGGTGACCACCTCCTTCAGCGAGCTGCACGTCTGCAGAGAACAGGAACGTTACATAAGTATTAGGGCTGTCAGTCGATTAAAATAGTTAATCGCGATTAATCGCACATTTTTCTATCTGTTCTAAATGTTCCTTAGAGGGATATTTTTCTAGTTTTTAATACTCTTATCAACATATGAGTGGACAAATATGCTTTATGCTAATGTTTATTATCATTTGAACAATGACAAATATTCTCCTGAATATTAAACACAACAAACCTCTATAATACAATACAAAGTGATGTGTGTGTGTGTGTGTGTGTGTGTGTGTGTGTGTGTGTGTGTGTGTGTGTGGTGTGTGTGTGTGTGTGTGTGTGTGTGTGTGTTGTGTGTGTGTGTGTGTGTGTGTGTGTGTGTGTGTGTGTGTGTGTGTGTGTGTGTGTGTGTTGTGGTGTGTGTGTGTGTGTGTGTGTGTGTGTGTGTGTGTGTGATGGATCGTTGGAGCTATGTGCAACTCAAGGCATATGCTCGAACGGGAGCTGCCTGGACGCTGCAATCATGTTGCGCACTATCCGTGCTGAGTGTGCTGACTTCTCGTACAATGTCCCACTGTCTGGCTTCCTGCATAAAGTCAAGTGCTCGGCGCAGTTGTCGGCGAAATGTCGCTCCTCTGTTTTCATTTGAAACAGCTCCTTATATCCGTTAGCGCAGCTAGCTAGCACCAGATGCTAACAATACACGCAGTGTTTCCCCTCCCATTGTCTTGGCGGGGCGCTGCGCCTTGCCAACGGAGCCCCGCGCCACGCCTGAAATTCAAGGTGTTTTTTAAATTTATTTTTATTTAAAAAATAAATAAAAAATAGCACCAAATTGCAACTGAAGTAATCTATCTACGGTCACTTTTCACATTGAACATGTGCTCTTTTATTAAATAAACTAAACACCAAGTTATTTCTCCAATGTATGTGCATGTTTCAGTGTCCACTGCTTTGCGTATTCACATCCTCCCTCCGCTCTGTTTCTGAAGGGCGGGGCTCCGGCTCAAATATATAGAAATGTTATTTTTAAAAGTGTTAAGTGTTGTTTTTGTGTTGATTTTCTATCAACCGCTTTGTGACTGATCTCATCAGAGAGAGCCCTTCTTCTTGAAAAACTCTTTGTCTGCAGGTCAGAGTTTGAAATAATCAGTTGCCATCTTGTTTTGACCTCATGTTGACAAACAAACACAGGGCAGTCGCCATTTTGTGAAATGCAAATTCAAAGCACTCCTTTGTTTGTTGTTATGCAGCTGGTTTCACCTCATGAGGCACTTTCCTAACGTCCATCTTGTGAAGAACAAATCATACTTATTGTCACAGTTGGAACTAGAAAGCTAAATCAGGTTATCTATACTGTTGGAGTTTGGATATTGAAGGGAAGGATTATTGTATTTTCTAAAGGTCCAATCTGATTTTTGAAGTAGTCCTGTTTGCAAATGTGTTTTGGCGGTTTTGTGCAATTGTTTGATCAATATTGTAACTTTTCTTCCCATCTCAAAAGGTATTTTTAAGAATATTAGCTACCTCTAGTGGATGAAATTGAAAATTACAACAGCGCACTCTGCTGGCGGTAATAAATACAACAATAGCGCATTTTAGGCAGAATTACTATTATACGCGAGTGTTATAGATGGACACATACTTCATGATACACAGATAAGATTACATGTGGTTTCAACATTTAAGATAAGAAACTTTATGCAATAGTCGTCCAACCTAGACTGTAGAATATTCAAACACCATGTTATTGAGTTTAACACAGCTTATGACATTTTCAAAATGTCATACACTTGAGTATACACAGTACACAACAGATTTAGATTTGCACTATTTTCAAAACATACACTGTACCATTTTTTTTTTTTAGATTTCTAATTAAAACACACGTTACAGTAAAGTCTGAGTGGGGGAGTTGTTACTAGAGCTAAGGAAAGACGAGACCAACAGAAAGGACACAATTCTAAAACAATGGAGCAAAACCACGACGAAGAACAGGTGCAACCTGCTGAAGCTATCTCGCTAACCTCGACAATGCGGTTGGGGCTTGAGTCAATTAGCAAAGAAATACGCGACCTCAAAACCGAAATGAAAAAGGACTTAACCACGCTCAAGGAGAAAGTCACGGAGGACGTTAAATCAGAAACCAGCGAGCTTAAGCGAGAAATGTACCAACAACTCTCTGCCAACACTACAACTTTACAAACACAAGGATCTCGAATCGCCGAGGCAGAGGGTCGGATCGCGGAAACAGAGACGTGGAATATAGAGATGAAGGAGGGGCTCTGTAAGTCCCTAAAACACCAGCAGATTCTGCAGGATAAGATGACAGATATTGAAGGGAGGAATAACATTCGTATCTTTGGAATACCCGAGGATAAAGAAGGAGACTGTGCTCCCAAATATGTACACCGTCTGCTCACAACGGAGCTCTCACTGCCTCCAAATGTCTCTATACACACACACACACACACACACACACACACACACACACACACACACACACACACACACACACACACACACACACACACACACACACTGTAGAGTTATATTTGTATTTATTCATGTTAGCAAACTATGGATAAGCTTAAAATGGGAATAATTTGGGTAAAACTGTGAGCTGGATATGGGGCCTGTTGACATGTGTTTTTGAGGACAAAGGAAGATGGGGGAAGGTGAGAGCATGTCCTGATTTGCATTCAACTTAGAACGAGCTACAGTGGTTGTGATATTAAGAGAGGTCCCTTGGGTTTCTCTGGTGGTTATCAATAGTAGCAGTTAAGTGAATACTGTTCAAACAATACCTGTGTTTGTGTTTTATATTGATTTCTCTGTTTTATCCTTTCATAAATGTAAGGACTACAAATGGCTATAAACATTCTGGGCTGGTTGGAGTAAACAGGGTTTTATTGCTCTGTGGGGGAGGTGTAGGTATGCAGGCCTTGAGACCTTTTGTTGGAAAGTGAGCCTGTTTGGTTTCCTGCTGGCCAGCGTTGCGTCTCCCAATGAGATGACCTGAAAAGATGACCAGCTGACCTAACACCAAACCCCTCCTTCTTACTCTGGTATATATCCGGAGGATCCCTGGCGTTCGGTCTCTCTTCACATGCTGCCCTCGGGTGAAAGTAGCTCTGCAGTATGCGAACCAGTGCAGGAGTAAGCCGGCATTACTCTTTAAGCATTACAATATAACTGTAATATATCATGTTGTATTGTAATGATTGTATTGCATTGTCATATTGCCATTAAAGTAGATTATTGTTAACGGTTACTTTGTAGATATGGATTCCTTCCTGTATTATAACCAGCTTCATAGGAACGCGCGGAGATTTGAAAAGCGGACCAGTTATCCCTCCAAATCTCCAACAAAATGGTGACCCGACGTCTAGAGATAACGAAGCTGAGGAAGAATTCAGACGCTTTCAAACATCTCAGACAATCAGCAGGACTCTGCAACTTTGCAAATAAGGTAAGCAGACGATGAAAATCGCCTGTTTGTAATTGGATAAAACTTTAGGATTGTCTGTAGGCGTTTCAGTGTTTTTATAGTTTAAATGGAATATACAATGCATATTTTACTATGTTAGGAAAGTTATATACAAAACATAAACGTTGATCGACAGGTAGACGAAAGTCCTGCGTGACGTAAAATAGAGCAGTTTGGCGTGGATCTACAGGTGTTTATTCCTGAGTGGCGTGGAGACGGGGCAGTTTGTTTGGATGCGAGGTTTGATTCCTGCACGACAAAACCTGGAAACTCGATAAATCAGATCGAGTCGCCGTTTAAAACTGGGGTTTAAATAACAGACCAATGCTAAAAGCTTAAAGCCAGAGGTCTGTTATATATTAAATCGAGGGAGAGCGTTTCCCTTTGTCTGGAAACTTCTGCTGCTGCCATCTAGTGGCTGAAAGGGGGTATCACACCCTTGAAACTTCTGCCGCTGCCATCTAGTGGCTGAAAGGGGGTATCACACCCTTGAAACTTCTGCTGCTGCCATCTAGTGGCTGAAAGGGGGTATCACACCCTTGAAACTTCTGCGAGCTTAGAGTTTAATCATTACATTGCTGGCCGGTATTGAAGACGGGAAGCACGTTCCCAGTATATTAATTATAACTGATTTTGGAAAACTGGTACAAAACAATAAGGGATTGAACATTTTTTACAACGACAGCACCAGGAGATGAGTAAACTCAAGAATCTGTAGAGTGTAAATACATTGTGCAAAACACATTTTACACTCGAACTGTTTGCAAATTTAGACAATATAAATAAATGTTCAGAAAGAAGACATAGGCCTACACTTGATTCAAATTTCATTACTGTGATCCGATTGGTGTGCTCTGCAGGTTTACTATTGTTCGAAGTAACAGTGGGATTTGAAATGAGAGAAGATATGGAGATGTTCTTTCATAGTGTGTGGAATATGTGATGCTGGAAACATGTAAGTATTTCGGAGTTGTGTTGGGTAAATATGTAACAATGGATGAAACAATTTTTGGAGTGAGTTTTTGTAATATCATAAGTAGACATTAATTATGATGTTTAGATGGCATTTAACAACTAAGACAGATAGTATGATTAGAAAGAGACAGAGTGGAAAGGGTTGGATTTATTTAACATCAGTGGGCTAGACTTCTTATAGGTAATGTGTACCGAGACCTGGACTCCCCCTCTGAGTTAGAAAGGCTTTGATCCCGACCCTCCAAGCAGACAAAAAGACCTAACCCAACAGGAGACTCCTCCTTCTCCATCGTACAGACAGAGAACCAGAGCTGAACCAACAACGACCTGAGGCATCCAGAACCAAACCAGCATGCTGACAAAGAGGCACACTCTCATCGGTCCCTCAAACAGGACATGAAGTTCCAAACTGCGCTGCGAGATTTGGCACAATAGACATGAGAGCAGAATCCGCCCTCCATAAAAACAGCAGAGAGACTGTAAAGGAGGAGTGCAACAACAGTGGCATGATGGGGCTGCAGATGTGACTGGGCCAATGGCGGCCTACAAAAGTTACAGCGGATGGATTCAACAGCTGATGGACTGAAGAGAAGACAGAATCAGAGGAGTTGGCATGGTCGATTAGAAGTGAGGAGGCCGGGGTCACGGCTTGAGAAAACCAGGGGAGGAGGAAAGGAGAACGGGAATGAGTGAGTTACACATAAACACACTTATTCACGAAACGCACATTTAAATAACTTGAATTAACTTCATAAATACGTAAAGACAGAAGGATTTGTTAATCATTTGGTAAATTAAAAATAGCAGTAAAGAGGAAACTATTAAAGTAAAATGATAATCATCCTAAAACACACTGACAGAGTAGAACCATATTCTTCAATATTTTCATCATGTTAACAAATCATTCTTTAAGACATTTTTATTCACGTGTGAATAAAGTAGTGATCTCATTGGTTACAATATTGATCACCATTAAAAGGATAGTTTTAGGAACCACTCTATAGGACAAATCTTTGTTTGTATTAATGGCTAGTGCCAAGCCACATATTAAATTCCAATCTAGAGTGTTGATTTCACCATTGTGGCATAGTTATTACCAGACTTCGGTTTTAAATCCTTGATAAAGGAGGGAGTAATTGTTGCATGTTCGGACACCCAAGGTTCCACACACTGCTAAAAGACTTTAACATTGTTTTTTAAGTAGACCAGAATTATAATGAGCTATGAAATGCAGAGCGACACAGATCCTAGTAATGTTTTGACTCAAGATAATAGTTATGTACACAAGTTTCTGAAATAGATCATTAGACATTTTAATACTAATTAGGTGTAATTGGATTGCAGTAGTAGTGGTACTCGAAGGGAGTGAGTTTTGTACCAAGTTTCAGGAAAAGTGGGAGGCAGAAGTCCCAATGACAAGTGAGAATCATCTTGAAAATCATAGTTGAAATCGTGACATATTTTTGTAGACAAAGGATACTGGCCTATGCTGAAATGTCAAAGTCTCTAGAGAGCACGACACATGGCCAAAAAAGACGGAGACCAACTGCCCTTTGACCCTGACCGACAGTGTAACTTGACAAGGCACTGTGGATGACTGACTCTGGGGTGAACCTGACCAAACTTGACATGACAACCAGACAGTGTGAGTGAATGAATGCCGGCATGTGATCAGTGTAACTGCATGATTCTAAAACAATAACTAACCAAGCATGTTTTTGGACTAACATATTATTTTGGAGCTCCAAGGGAAACGAGAGGTTTCCTAAAAATTCCACAAAAAGGGGAAACCGCAAATGTGATATTTTCCTCTCACATGAGTTGGCGGTTTGCAAATGTAAAACTACAATCTGAAGATTCTGTTTCTTTTAGGCCGGAAGGACGGAGAGGAACACTTCTTTTCACTGAAGTGTTCGCTGTGGAAATAATGATAATAATGTTCGTTATGTTCCTAACCAATTACCTGACAGTTTTTGTTCCCCTCCCATTACAGGCTTTTGTTACACATGATTTCATGTGTAAAAGGGGGGGAGTGAGTATAATGTATAAATGTCAACATGGCTGTAAAATTCACAATTTAAATTTTTCTTTTAAGGATTGAGCATTGAATGTAATTAACCTGCTCCATATCTGGGGATAAGATACTGTTTGATCAATGTTGAGATGTTTCTAAATATTGATTTGAATTATAACAGGTAACAAAGAAGCAGTGGCCAAGGGGCTACTGTGAAACCGAAGAAGTTGACCTGTGATAATTAAACAATTTTGTAATATTTTAATAGACATTAGAGTAACTGAGGTTTGAAATGTAGAAAGAACATATTACAGTTAAAGCTAAAACATAGTAGTGTATTGAGACAGAATTTAATTTAGACAACATCATGTAACTAGCCTGGTAAAGAAGTAAAAGCCATAGACTTTATTGTTTAGGTCATTATAGGGATATACATTTCATCTACATTTATAATAGAAAGACATTTGATGACAGTTTGTTGGAATTCTGTATTCATTTTTTCAGCGTGATAATATCTAAGCACTGACAGGTAGAAGCAGTATCACCAGGAAATCATTCACTTTGTTAGTATTGTGATTTTGGTTGTTTTTGAATCCATAACATTAGTGTGTTTCTTTACCAGAAACATTAGCAGTTCATATTATATTTAGATTTTAAATAGGATTTCATTTAAAAATAAACACGGATGCTGGTCAGAAATTCAGAGCTATTGAAATATGTTATTTAGTTTACCTAAAGATGTTGAGGTTCTTATTTAATTGGCACAGTCCAAGTATTAAGATTCTGAAGCTGCACTGGCAGATAGGAGGTCTACAATTAATTTGGAAAACCTGTTCACAGACGGCTGTTGTTTCAAGACACCCCACCAACAGGCTCCAAGTGGGTCAAAACAGCTGAGCGTAGGCTTGAGGGAGTTGTATCAGATTTCTCCACACAGGTCGCTGGCGCCAAAAGGGGGACCCGAGAAGCACGAGGCCGACACAGCAGAGTTCGTCTGGCTGAAAGTCATCAGGACAAAGTGGCTCAACCCCAGGCTCTCCGACCCCGACCGAGTGACCCAGCGGACCTCTTATGCCGTCTGCCTGGGAGAAAAGGGGGACAGCTCGTACCACGGGAGCCAGTGTGCGGCGGGGAAACCACCTACTAGGACCAGGGGACGACATCAGGACGGACGTGGCCCTGGCAGACGTGAACTACTCGGAAGCAGCAGACTGGAGGAGCAGGACCCTGGAGACATCTCTACAGCATCGACCCGGAAGCCGCCATCAGCGGGCCGGAGGACGAGGAGGAGGAAGACATCTCTCTAGCAGGCAGCCCAGAAGCTGCTGTCAGCGGATTGGGGGGACAAAGACACGGCAAGCCAGGACGGCACAGGGGACTTTTCGAGGCAGCAGAGGAGTCTACTTCGCTCTGATCAGTTCTACCCATGAAGGGAAAGCTGCATCTCCCCCTCCCTATTAGCTGTCCTTGTGGGCTATTCCTCCGAGGGGGGGGGGGGGCTGATGATTCTAGCACTCAGCTACCCCCTCATGGTTCCTTCACTGCCATGGAAAGTGGTGTTCTGTCTCCATGAAGGTTTCAAGTACTCTAAATACCAGCTTCGGATGGATTTACGGACACAGTAGAAAATAATGACAGTGGGTATATTTCAAAATGCCTTGTCTAAGTTTATCTCTGGAGAAGGAGATAAAAAGGGGGCTTTGTAGAGTTATATTTGTATTTATTCATGTTAGCAAACTATGGATAAGCTTAAAATGGGAATAATTTGGGTAAAACTGTGAGCTGGATATGGGGCCGGTTGACATGTGTTTTTGAGGACAAAGGAAGATGGGGGAAGGTGAGAGCATGTCCTGATTTGCATTCAACTTAGATCTAGCTACAGTGTTTGTGATATTAAGAGAGGTCCTTTGGGTTTATCTGGTGGTCATCAATAGTAGCAGTTAAGTGAATACTGTTCAAACAATACCTGTGTTTGTGTTTTATATTGATTTCTCTGTTTTATCCTTTCATAAATGTAAGGACTACAAATGGCTATAAACATTCTGGGCTGGTTGGAGTAAACAGGGTTTTATTGCTCTGTGGGGGAGGTGTAGGTATGCAGGCCTTGAGACCTTTTGTTGTAAAGTGAGCCTGTTTGGTTTCCTGCTGGCCAGCGTTGCGTCTCCCAATGAGATGACCTGAAAAGATGACCAGCTGACCTAACCCCTAACCCCTCCTTCTTACTCTGGTATATATCCGGTGGATCCCTGGCGTTCGGTCTCTTCTTCACATGCTGCCCCCGAGCGAAAGAATCTCCGCAGCACGCGAACCAGGGCAGGAGTAAGCCGGCATTACTCCTTAAGCATTACAATATAACTGTAATATATCATGTTGTATTGTAATGATTGTATTGCATTGTCATATTGCCATTAAAGTAGATTATTGTTAACGGTTACTTTGTAGATATGGATTCCTTCCTGTATTATAACCAGCTTCATAGGAACGCGCGGAGATTTGAAAAGCGGACCAGATATCCCTTTTAATCTCCAACAACACACACACACACACACACGACTGTTGAACTCTGTGAGGAGCATCCATCTGGCTGCATCTTGATAAGTATCTCTATATTCCATGTTCGTGTACACAGACTCTATTTCTATGTTATTTTATTAACTTGCTCGTCTCAACACATTCTCTTCACTATTTGATCTGTTTTATTAGTTTGATGTCTTCTATATCTTCATGTTGCTCTGCTGGAGGAGGACTTCAGGCTCTCCTCTCCATCTCTCCTCTGAAGCTGCTGAGCACTTGGTGAGAGAGACTTGAATATCATTGAATTCCAGCTCCGTGCTCTTCTGGTTCCGAACCGGTTCTTCTCTGTAGCCTCAGGTGTGTTTCCACCGCTCAGAGCCCGACAGGTGCTGCGTCATGACGTCACCGTTCACAGCAACAACAGCAGCAACGACAACAACAACAACAACGGGGGACTGCGTCGGGTCAATGATCGTGTTGCTTTTAATCATACAGAGCCAGATTAAGTTAAATAACTACTTCTCCAACCTTACATCTTTCTCCAGAGTGCCCTGGTTCATTTACCGTCTCTTTCTGTCCTTTGATCGCCGACAGCCAAGGGGGGTCACCGCTCCCTCCAGAACCACAGAGAGGTTTCTACTTCCTGTTGGTCTCCAGCTGAGTGTGAATCACTCCCTACTACTTCCTGTTGCCCTCCAGCCTCATGCAGCCTCAGGTGCTTCTTCAGGCGTCCGGTGACGGCGAAGCTCTTCCCGCAGACGGAGCAGCTGAAGGGTTTCTCTCCGGTGTGGACCCTCATGTGGATCTTCAGGCTGCCCTTCTGGGCGCAGCTCTTCCCGCAGACGGTGCAGCTGAAGGGTTTCTCCCCTGTGTGGACCCTCATGTGTTTGGTCAGGTCCCCCTTCTCAGCACAGCACTTCCCGCAGAAGGGGCAGCTGTAGGGTTTTCTCTCCGGTGTGGACCCTCATGTGGACCGTCAGGCAGGCCTTCCGGGCACAGCCCTTCCCACAGGACAGTGCAGCTGAAGGGTTTTCTCTCCGGTGTGGACCCTCATGTGGATCTTCAGGTCCCCCTTCTCAGCGCAGCACTTCCCGCAGAAGGGGCAGCTGTAGGGTTTCTCTCCGGTGTGGACCCTCATGTGTTTCTTCAGGTCTGTCTTCTGCACACAGCCCTTCCCACAGACGGAGCAGCTGAAGGGTTTCTCCCCTGTGTGGAACTTCATGTGTCGGTTCAGGTGCTCCTTGCTGTGGAAGCTCTTGCTGCAGACGGAGCATTCGAAGGGTTTCTCTCCGGTGTGGATCCTCATGTGCCGGGTCATGTTCCCCAGGCCGCTGAAGCTCTTCCCGCAGAACAGGCAACTGTAGGGCTGTTCTCCGGTGTGGATCCTCCTGTGGGCCGTCAGAGAGCCGCTGTCTTTGAAGGTCTTGTTGCAGCCGGTGCAGGGGAAGGGTCTCTCGCCCGTGTGGTCTCTGACGTGCCGGTTCAGGTTCCCCTTCAGGCTGAATCTCTTCCCACAGAAGGAGCAGGGGAATGGCCTCTCTTTGGGAGACGACCCCACATCGCTCTTCGGAGCGTCCCTGTTCGGGGCCCCCGACCCCCCGACTGAGCCTCGTCTGGGAAAGACCAGTCACTGTCGTCAGTCTCAGAGGAGTCCAGGGAGTCCTCCTCAATGATGGGTTCTAACCCTGGATCTGGATCCTGGTTCCTGGCTGGTCCTGGTCCTCCACAGTCCTCTCCATCTGGTCCCACAGTGTCTCTTTGATGAAGATGAGAGGACTGAGGCTCCTCTTCATCATCTTCACTCTTCATAGGGACAGGAGTGAAGGTGGGCTTTATCTCCTCCTCCTCCTCTTCCTCTTTGATGTGGGGGGGGGGGGCTCCTCCTGCTGGTGACCACCTCCTTCAGCGAGCTGCACATCTGCAGAGAACAGGAACGTTACATAAGTATTAGGGCTGTCAGTCGATTAAAATATTTAATCGCACATTTTTCTATCTGTTCTAAATGTTCCTTAGAGGGATATTTTTCTAGTTTTTAATACTCTTATCAACATATGAGTGGACAAATATGCTTTATGCTAATGTTTATTATCATTTGAACAATGACAAATATTCTCCTGAATATTAAACACAACAACCTCTATCATACAATACAAAGTGTGTGTGTGTGTGTGTGTGTGTGTGTGTGTGTGTGGTGTGTGTGTGTGTGTGTGTGTGTGTGTGGTGTGTGTGTGTGTGTGTGTGTGTGTGTGTGTGTGTGTGTGTGTGTGTGTGTGTGTGTGTGTGTGTGTGTGTGTGTGTGTGTGTGTGGTGTGTGTGTGTGTGTGTGTGTGTGTGTGTGTGTGTGATGGATCGTTGGAGCTATGTGCAACTCAAGGCATATGCTCGAACGGGAGCTGCCTGGACGCTGCAATCATGTTGCGCACTATCCGTGCTGAGTGTGCTGACTTCTCGTACAATGTCACACTGTCTGGCTTCCTGCATAAAGTCAAGTGCTCGGCGCAGTTGTCGGCGAAATGTCGCTCCTCTGTTTTCATTGAAACAGCTCCTTATATCCGTTAGCGCAGCTAGCTAGCACCAGATGCTAACAATACACGCAGTGTTTCCCCTCCCATTGTCTTGGCGGGGCGCTGCGCCTTGCCAACGGAGCCCCGCGCCACGCCTGAAATTCAAGGTGTTTTTTAAATTTATTTTTATTTAAAAAATAAATAAAAAATAGCACCAAATTGCAACTGAAGTAATCTATCTACGGTCACTTTTCACATTGAACATGTGCTCTTTTATTAAATAAACTAAACACCAAGTTATTTCTCCAATGTATGTGCATGTTTCAGTGTCCACTGCTTTGCGTATTCACATCCTCCCTCCGCTCTGTTTCTGAAGGGCGGGGCTCCGGCTCAAATATATAGAAATGTTATTTTTAAAGTGTTAAGTGTTGTTTTTTGTGTTGATTTTCTATCAACCGCTTTGTGACTGATCTCATCAGAGAGCCCTTCTTCTTGAAAAACTCTTTGTCTGCAGGTCAGAGTTTGAAATAATCAGTTGCCATCTTGTTTTGACCTCATGTTGACAAACAAACACAGGGCAGTCGCCATTTTGTGAAATGCAAATTCAAAGCACTCCTTTGTTTGTTGTTATGCAGCTGGTTTCACCTCATGAGGCACTTTCCTAACGTCCATCTTGTGAAGAAACAATCATACTTATTGTCACAGTTGGAACTAGAAAGCTAAATCAGGTTATCTATACTGTTGGAGTTTGGATATTGAAGGGAAGGATTATTGTATTTTCTAAAGGTCCAATCTGATTTTTGAAGTAGTCCTGTTTGCAAATGTGTTTTGGCGGTTTTGTGCAATTGTTTGATCAATATTGTAACTTTTCTTCCCATCTCAAAAGGTATTTTTAAGAATATTAGCTACCTCTAGTGGATGAAATTGAAAATTACAACAGCGCACTCTGCTGGCGGTAATAAATACAACAATAGCGCATTTTAGGCAGAATTACTATTATACGCGAGTGTTATAGATGGACACATACTTCATGATACACAGATAAGATTACATGTGGTTTTCAACATTTAAGATAAGAAACTTTATGCAATAGTCGTCCAACCTAGACTGTAGAATATTCAAACACCATGTTATTGAGTTTAACACAGCTTATGACATTTTCAAAATGTCATACACTTGAGTATTACACAGTACACAACAGATTTAGATTTGCACTATTTTCAAAACATACACTTGTACCATTTTTTTTTTTTTAGATTTCTAATTAAAACACACGTTACAGTAAAGTCTGAGTGGGGGAGTTGTTACTAGAGCTAAGGAAAGACGAGACCAACAGAAAGGACACAATTCTAAAACAATGGAGCAAAACCACGACGAAGAACAGGTGCAACCTGCTGAAGCTATCTCGCTAACCTCGACAATGCGGTTGGGGCTTGAGTCAATTAGCAAAGAAATAGCGACCTCAAAACCGAAATGAAAAAGGACTTAACCACGCTCAAGGAGAAAGTCACGGAGGACGTTAAATCAGAAACCAGCGAGCTTAAGCGAGAAATGTACCAACAACTCTCTGCCAACACTACAACTTTACAAACACAAGGATCTCGAATCGCCGAGGGCAGAGGTCGGATCGCGGAAACAGAGACGTGGAATATAGAGATGAAGGAGGGGCTCTGTAAGTCCCTAAAACACCAGCAGATTCTGCAGGATAAGATGACAGATATTGAAGGGAGGAATAACATTCGTATCTTTGGAATACCCGAGGATAAAGAAGGAGACTGTGCTCCCAAATATGTACACCGTCTGCTCACAACGGAGCTCTCACTGCCTCCAAATGTCTCTATACACACACACACACACACACACACACACACACACACACACACACACACACACACACACACACACACACACACACCACACACACACACACACACACACACACACACACACACAACACACACACACACACACACACACACACACACACACACACACACACACACACACACTGTAGAGTTATATTTGTATTTATTCATGTTAGCAAACTATGGATAAGCTTAAAATGGGAATAATTTGGGTAAAACTGTGAGCTGGATATGGGGCCTGTTGACATGTGTTTTGAGGACAAAGGAAGATGGGGGAAGGTGAGAGCATGTCCTGATTTGCATTCAACTTAGATCTAGCTACAGTGGTTTGTGATATTAAGAGAGGTCCCTTGGGTTTCTCTGGTGGTTATCAATAGTAGCAGTTAAGTGAATACTGTTCAAACAATACCTGTGTTTGTGTTTTATATTGATTTCTCTGTTTTATCCTTTCATAAATGTAAGGACTACAAATGGCTATAAACATTCTGGGCTGGTTGGAGTAAACAGGGTTTTATTGCTCTCTGGGGGAGGTGTAGGTATGCAGGCCTTGAGACCTTTTGTTGTAAAGTGAGCCTGTTTGGTTTCCTGCTGGCCAGCGTTGCGTCTCCCAATGAGATGACCTGAAAAGATGACCAGCTGACCTAACACCAAACCCCTCCTTCTTACTCTGGTATATATCCGGAGGATCCCTGGCGTTCGGCCTCTTCTTCACATGCTGCCCTCGGGTGAAAGTAGCTCTGCAGTATGCGAACCAGTGCAGGAGTAAGCCGGCATTACTCTTTAAGCATTACAATATAACTGTAATATATCATGTTGTATTGTAATGATTGTATTGCATTGTCATATTGCCATTAAAGTAGATTATTGTTAACGGTTACTTTGTAGATATGGATTCCTTCCTGTATTATAACCAGCTTCATAGGAACGCGCGGAGATTTGAAAAGCGGACCAGTTATCCCTCCAAATCTCCAACAAAATGGTGACCCGACGTCTAGATATAACGAAGCTGAGGAAGAATTCAGACGCTTTCAAACATCTCAGACAATCAGCAGGACTCTGCAACTTTGCAAATAAGGTAAGCAGACGATGAAAATCGCCTGTTTGTAATTGGATAAAACTTTAGGATTGTCTGTAGGCGTTTCAGTGTTTTTATAGTTTAAATGGAATATACAATGCATATTTTACTATGTTAGGAAAGTTATATACAAAACATAAACGTTGATCGACAGGTAGACGAAAGTCCTGCGTGACGTAAAATAGAGCAGTTTGGCGTGGATCTACAGGTGTTTATTCCTGAGTGGCGTGGAGACGGGGGCAGTTTGTTTGGATGCGAGGTTTGATTCCTGCACGACAAAACCTGGAAACTCGATATATCAGATCGAGTCGCCGTTTAAAACTGGGGTTTAAATAACAGACCAATGCTAAAAGCTTAAAGCCAGAGGTCTGTTATATATTAAACCAAGGGAGAGCGTTTCCCTTTGTCTGGAAACTTCTGCTGCTGCCATCTAGTGGCTGAAAGGGGGTATCACACCCTTGAAACTTCTGCTGCTGCCATCTAGTGGCTGAAAGGGGGTATCACACCCTTGAAACTTCTGCTGCTGCCATCTAGTGGCTGAAAGGGGGTATCACACCCTTGAAACTTCTGCTGCTGCCATCTAGTGGCTGAAAGGGGGTATCACACCCTTGAAACTTCTGCGAGCTTAGAGTTTAATCATTACATTGCTGGCCGGTATTGAAGACGGGAAGCACGTTCCCAGTATATTAATTATAACTGATTTTGGAAAACTGGTACAAAACAATAAGGGATTGAACATTTTTTACAACGACAGCACCAGGAGATGAGTAAACTCAAGAATCTGTAGTGTAAATACATTGTGCAAAACACATTTTACACTCGAACTGTTTGCACATCATAGACAAGGAATTTAGACAATATAAATAAATGTTCAGAAAGAAGACATAGGCCTACACTTGATTCAAATTTCATTACTGTGATCCGATTGGTGTGCTCTGCAGGTTTACTATTGTTCGAAGTAACAGTGGGATTTGAAATGAGAGAAGATATGGAGATGTTCTTTCATAGTGTGTGGAATATGTGATGCTGGAAACATGTAAGTATTTCAGAGTTGTGTTGGGTAAATATGTAACAATGGATGAAACAATTTTTGGAGTGAGTTTTTGTAATATCATAAGTAGACATTAATTATGATGTTTAGATGGCATTTAACAACTAAGACAGATAGTATGATTAGAAAGAGACAGAGTGGAAAGGGTTGGATTTATTTAACATCAGTGGGCTAGACTTCTTATAGGTAATGTGTACCGAGACCTGGACTCCCCCTCTGAGTTAGAAAGGCTACGATCCCGACCCTCCAAGCAGACAAAAAGACCTAACCCAACAGGAGACTCCTCCTTCTCCATCGTACAGACAGAGAACCAGAGCTGAACCAACAACGACCTGAGGCATCCAGAACCAAACCAGCATGCTGACAAAGAGGCACACTCTCATCGGTCCCTCAAACAGGACATGAAGTTCCAAACTGCGCCGCGAGATTTGGCACAATAGACATGAGAGCAGAATCCGCCCTCCATAAAAACAGCAGAGAGACTGTAAAGGAGGAGTGCAACAACAGTGGCATGATGGGGCTGCAGATGTGACTGGGCCAATGGCGGCCTACAAAAGTTACAGCGGATGGATTCAACAGCTGATGGACTGAAGAGAAGACAGAATCAGAGGAGTTGGCATGGTCGATTAGAAGTGAGGAGGCCGGGGTCACGGCTTGAGAAAACCAGGGGAGGAGGAAAGGAGAACGGGAATGAGTGAGTTACACATAAACACACTTATTCACGAAACGCACATTTAAATAACTTGAATTAACTTCATAAATACGTAAACACAGAAAGATTTATTAATCATTTGGTAAATTAAAAATAGCAGTAAAGAGGAAACTATTAAAGTAAAATGATAATCATCCTAAAACACACTGACAGAGTAGAACCATATTCTTCAATATTTTCATCATGTTAACAATTCATTCTTTAAGACATTTTTATTCACGTGTGAATAAAGTAGTGATCTCATTGGTTACAATATTGATCACCATTAAAAGGATAGTTTTAGGAACCACTCTATAGGACAAATCTTTGTTTGTATTAATGGCTAGTGCCAAGCCACATATTAAATTCCAATCTAAAGTGTTGATTTCACCATTGTGGCATAGTTATTACCAGACTTCGGTTTTAAATCCTTGATAAAGGAGGGAGTAATTGTTGCATGTTCGGACACCCAAGGTTCCACACACTGCTAAAAGAGTTTAACATTGTTTTTTAAGTAGACCAGAATTATAATGAGCTATGAAATGCAGAGCGACACAGATCCTAGTAATGTTTTGACTCAAGATAATAGTTATTGTACACAAGTTTCTGAAATAGATCATTAGACATTTTAATACTAATTAGGTGTAATTGGATTGCAGTAGTAGTGGTACTCGAAGGGAGTGAGTTTTGTACCAAGTTTCAGGAAAAGTGGGAGGCAGAAGTCCCAATGACAAGTGAGAATCATCTTGAAAATCATAGTTGAAATCGTGACATATTTTTGTAGACAAAGGATACTGGCCTATGCTGAAATGTCAAAGTCTCTGCAGAGCACGACACATGGCCAAAAAAGACGGAGACCAACTGCCCTTTGACCCTGACCGACAGTGTAACTTGACAAGGCACTGTGGATGACTGACTCTGGGGTGAACCTGACCAAACTTGACATGACAACCAGACAGTGTGAGTGTGAATGAATGTCTGCATGTGATCAGTGTAACTGCATGATTCTAAAACAATAACTAACCAAGCATGTTTTTGGACTAACATATTATTTTGGAGCTCCAAGGGAAACGAGAGGTTTCCTAAAAATTCCACAAAAAGGGGAAACCGCAAATGTGATATTTTCCTCTCACATGAGTTGGCGGTTTGCAAATGTAAAACTACAATCTGAAGATTCTGTTTCTTTTAGGCCGGAAGGACGGAGAGGAACACTTCTTTTCACTGAAGTGTTCACTGTGGAAATAATGATGATGATGTCAAATTTAAAATAATGTTCGTTATGTCCCTAACCAATTACCTGACAGTTTTTGTTCCCCTCCCATTACAGGCTTTTGTTACACATGATTTCATGTGTAAAAGGGGGGAGTGAGTATAATGTATAAATGTCAACATGGCTGTAAAATTCACAATTTAAATTTTTCTTTTAAGGATTGACAGAAACCTTCCGCCCCAACCCAGATGTTCAAACTGAGCATTGAATGTAATTAACCTGCTCCATATCTGGGGATAAGATACTGTTTGATGAATGTTGAGATGTTTCTAAATATTGATTTGAATTATAACAGGTAACAAAGAAGCAGTGGCCAAGGGGCTACTGTGAAACCGAAGAAGTTGACCTGTGATAATTAAACAATTTTGTAATATTTTAATAGACATTAGAGTAACTGAGGTTTGAAATGTAGAAAGAACATATTACAGTTAAAGCTAAAACATAGTAATGTAATGAGACAGAATTTAATTTAGACAACATCATGTAACTAGCCTGGTAAAGAAGTAAAAGCCATATACTTTATTGTTTAGGTCATTATAGGGATATACATTTCATCTACATTTATAATAGAAAGACATTTGATGACAGTTTGTTGGAATTCTGTATTCATTTTTTCAGCGTGATAATATCTAAGCACTGACAGGTAGAAGCAGTATCACCAGGAAATCATTCACTTTGTTAGCATCGTGATTTTGGTTGTTTTTGAATCCATAACATTAGTGTGTTTCTTTACCAGAAACATTAGCAGTTCATATTAGATTTAGATTTTAAATAGGATTTCATTTAAAAATAAACACGGATGCTGGTCAGAAATTCAGAGCTATTGAAATATGTTATTTAGTTTACCTAAAGATGTTGGGGTTCTTATTTAATTGGCACAGTCCAAGTATTAAGATTCTGAAGCTGCACTGGCAGATAGGAGGTCTACAATTAATTTGGAAAACCTGTTCACAGACGGCTGTTGTTTCAAGACACCCCACCAACAGGCTCCAAGTGGGTCAAAACAGCTGAGCGTAGGCTTGAGGGAGTTGTATCAGATTTCTCCACACAGGTCGCTGGCGCCAAAAGGGGGACCCGAGAAGCACGAGGCCGACAGCAGAGTTCGTCTGGCTGAAAGTCATCAGGACAAAGTGGCTCAACCCCAGGCTCTCCGACCCCGACCGAGTGACCCAGCGGACCTCTTATGCCGTCTGCCTGGGAGAAAAGGGGGACAGCTCGTACCACGGGAGCCAGTGTGCGGCGGGGAAACCACCTACTAGGACCAGGGGACGACATCAGGACGGACGTGGCCCTGGCAGACGTGAACTACTCGGAAGCAGCAGACTGGAGGAGCAGGACCCTGGAGACATCTCTACAGCATCGACCCGGAAGCCGCCATCAGCGGGCCGGAGGACGAGGAGGAGGAAGACATCTCTCTAGCAGGCAGCCCAGAAGCTGCTGTCAGCGGATTGGGGGGACAAAGACACGGCAAGCCAGGACGGCACAGGGGACTTTTCGAGGCAGCAGAGGAGTCTACTTCGCTCTGATCAGTTCTACCCGTGAAGGGAAAGCTGCATCTCCCCCTCCCTATTAGCTGTCCTTGTGGGCTATTCCTCCGAGGGGGGGGGGGGCTGATGATTCTAGCACTCAGCTACCCCCTCATGGTTCCTTCACTGCCATGGAAAGTGGTGTTCTGTCTCCATGAAGGTTTCAAGTACTCTAAATACCAGCTTCGGATGGATTTACGGACACAGTAGAAAAGAATGACAGTGGGTATATTTCAAAATGCCTTGTCTAAGTTTATCTCTGGAGAAGGAGATAAAAAGGGGGATTTGTAGAGTTATATTTGTATTTATTCATGTTAGCAAACTATGGATAAGCTTAAAATGGGAATAATTTGGGTAAAACTGTGAGCTGGATATGGGGCCGGTTGACATGTGTTTTTGAGGACAAAGGAAGATGGGGGAAGGTGAGAGCATGTCCTGATTTGCATTCAACTTAGATCTAGCTACCGTGTTTGTGATATTAAGAGAGGTCCTTTGGGTTTATCTGGTGGTCATCAATAGTAGCAGTTAAGTGAATACTGTTCAAACAATACCTGTGTTTGTGTTTTATATTGATTTCTCTGTTTTATCCTTTCATAAATGTAAGGACTACAAATGGCTATAAACATTCTGGGCTGGTTGGAGTAAACAGGGTTTTATTGCTCTGTGGGGGAGGTGTAGGTATGCAGGCCTTGAGACCTTTTGTTGTAAAGTGAGCCTGTTTGGTTTCCTGCTGGCCAGCGTTGCGTCTCCCAATGAGATGACCTGAAAAGATGACCAGCTGACCTAACCCCTAACCCCTCCTTCTTACTCTGGTATATATCCGGAGGATCCCTGGCGTTCGGGCTCTCTTCACATGCTGCCCCCGAGCGAAAGAATCTCCGCAGCACGCGAACCAGGGCAGGAGTAAGCCGGCATTACTCCTTAAGCATTACAATATAACTGTAATATATCATGTTGTATTGTAATGATTGTATTGCATTGTCATATTGCCATTAAAGTAGATTATTGTTAACGGTTACTTTGTAGATATGGATTCCTTCCTGTATTATAACCAGCTTCATAGGAACGCGCGGAGATTTGAAAAGCGGACCAGATATCCCTTTTAATCTCCAACAACACACACACACACACGACTGTTGAACTCTGTGAGGAGCATCCATCTGGCTGCATCTTGATAAGTATCTCTATATTCCATGTTCGTGTACACAGACTCTATTTCTATGTTATTTTATTAACTTGCTCGTCTCAACACATTCTCTTCACTATTTGATCTGTTTTATTAGTTTGATGTCTTCTATATCTTCATGTTGCTCTGCTGGAAGAGGACTTCAGGCTCTCCTCTCCATCTCTCCTCTGAAGCTGCTGAGCACTTGGTGAGAGAGACTTGAATATCATTGAATTCCAGCTCCGTGCTCTTCTGGTTCCGAACCGGTTCTTCTCTGTAGCCTCAGGTGTGTTTCCACCGCTCAGAGCCCGACAGGTGCTGCGTCATGACGTCACCGTTCACAGCAACAACAGCAGCAACAACAACAACAACGGGGGACTGCGTCGGGTCAATGATCGTGTTGCTTTTAATCATACAGAGCCAGATTAAGTTAAATAACTACTTCTCCAACCTTACATCTTTCTCCAGAGTGCCCTGGTTCATTTACCGTCTCTTTCTGTCCTTTGATCGCCGACAGCCAAGGGGGGTCACCGCTCCCTCCAGAACCACAGAGAGGTTCTACTTCCTGTTGGTCTCCAGCTGAGTGTGAATCACTCCCTACTACTTCCTGTTGCCCTCCAGCCTCATGCAGCCTCAGGTGCTTCTTCAGGCGTCCGGTGACGGCGAAGCTCTTCCCGCAGATGGAGCAGCTGAAGGGTTTCTCTCCGGTGTGAACCCTCATGTGGATCTTCAGGCTGCCCCTCTGGGTGCATCTCATCCCGCAGACGGTGCAGCTGAAGGGTTTCTCCCCTGTGTGGACCCTCATGTGTTTGGTCAGGTCCCCATTCTTAGCGCAGCACTTCCCGCAGACGGAGCAGCTGAAGGGTTTCTCTCCGGTGTGGACCCTCATGTGGACCGTCAGGCAGGCCTTCCGGGCACAGCCCTTCCCACAGACAGTGCAGCTGAAGGGTTTCTCTCCGGTGTGGACCCTCATGTGGATCTTCAGGTCCCCCTTCTCAGCGCAGCACTTCCCGCAGAAGGGGCAGCTGAAGGGTTTCTCTCCGGTGTGGACCTTCATGTGTTTCTTCAGGTCTGTCTTCTGCACACAGCCCTTCCCACAGACGGAGCAGCTGAAGGGTTTCTCCCCTGTGTGGAACTTCATGTGTCGGTTCAGGTGCTCCTTGCTGTGGAAGCTCTTGCTGCAGACGGAGCATTCGAAGGGTTTCTCTCCGGTGTGGATCCTCATGTGCCGGGTCATGTTCCCCAGGCCGCTGAAGCTCTTCCCGCAGAACAGGCAGCTGTAGGGCTGTTCTCCGGTGTGGATCCTCCTGTGGGCCGTCAGAGAGCCGCTGTCTTTGAAGGTCTTGTTGCAGCCGGTGCAGGGGAAGGGTCTCTCGCCCATGTGGTCTCTGACGTGCCGGTTCAGGTTCCCCTTCAGGCTGAATCTCTTCCCGCAGAAGGAGCAGGGGAATGGCCTCTCTTTGGGAGACGACCCCACATCGCTCTTCGGAGCGTCCCTGTTCGGGGCCCCGACCCCCGACTGAGCCTCGTCTGGGAAAGACCAGTCACTGTCGTCAGTCTCAGAGGAGTCCAGGGAGTCCTCCTCAATGATGGGTTCTAACCCTGGATCTGGATCCTGGTTCCTGGCTGGTCCTGGTCCTCCACAGTCCTCTCCATCTGGTCCCACAGTGTCTCTTTGATGAAGATGAGAGGACTGAGGCTCCTCTTCATCATCTTCACTCTTCATAGGGACAGGAGTGAAGGTGGGCTTTATCTCCTCCTCCTCCTCTTCCTCTTTGATGTGGGGGGGGGGCTCCTCCTGCTGGTGACCACCTCCTTCAGCAAGCTGCACATCTGCAGAGAACAGGAACGTTACATAAGTATTAGGGCTGTCAGTCGATTAAAATATTTAATCGCACATTTTTCTATCTGTTCTAAATGTTCCTTAGAGGGATATTTTTCTAGTTTTTAATACTCTTAACATATGAGTGGACAAATATGCTTTATGCTAATGTTTATTATCATTTGAACAATGACAAATATTCTCCTGAATATTAAACACAACAACCTCTATCATACAATACAAAGTGTGTGTGTGTGTGTGTGTGTGTATGTGTGTGTGTGTGTGTGTGTGTGTGTGTGTGTGTGTGTGTGTGATGGATCGTTGGAGCTATGTGCAACTCAAGGCATATGCTCGAACGGGAGCTGCCTGGACGCTGCAGTCATGTTGCGCACTATCCGTGCTGAGTGTGCTGACTTCACGTACAATGTCCCACTGTCTGGCTTCCTGCATAAAGTCAAGTGCTCGGCGCAGTTGTCGGCGAAATGTCGCTCCTCTGTTTTCATTGAAACAGCTCCTTATATCCGTTAGCGCAGCTAGCTAGCACCAGATGCTAACAATACACGCAGTGTTTCCCCTCCCATTGTCTTGGCGGGGCGCTGCGCCTTGCCAACGGAGCCCCGCGCCACGCCTGAAATTCAAGGTGTTTTTTAAAAAAAATTTAATTAAAAAAATAAATAAAAAATAGCACCAAATTGCAACTGAAGTAATCTATCTACGGTCACTTTTCACATTGAACATGTGCTCTTTTATTAAATAAACTAAACACCAAGTTATTTCTCCAATGTATGTGCATGTTTCAGTGTCCACTGCTTTGCGTATTCACATCCTCCCTCCGCTCTGTTTCTGAAGGGCGGGGCTCCGGCTCAAATATATAGAAATGTTATTGTTAAAAGTGTTAAGTGTTGTTTTTGTGTTGATTTTCTATCAACCGCTTTGTGACTGATCTCATCAGAGAGCCCTTCTTCTTGAAAAACTCTTTGTCTGCAGGTCAGAGTTTGAAATAATCAGTTGCCATCTTGTTTTGACCTCATGTTGACAAACAAACACAGGGCAGTCGCCATTTTGTGAAATGCAAATTCAAAGCACTCCTTTGTTTGTTGTTATGCAGCTGGTTTCACCTCATGAGGCACTTTCCTAACGTCCATCTTGTGAAGAACAAATCATACTTATTGTCACAGTTGGAACTAGAAAGCTAAATCAGGTTATCTATACTGTTGGAGTTTGGATATTGAAGGGAAGGATTATTGTATTTTCTAAAGGTCCAATCTGATTTTTGAAGTAGTCCTGTTTGCAAATGTGTTTTGGCGGTTTTGTGCAATTGTTTGATCAATATTGTAACTTTTCTTCCCATCTCAAAAGGTATTTTTAAGAATATTAGCTACCTCTAGTGGATGAAATTGAAAATTACAACAGCGCACTCTGCTGGCGGTAATAAATACAACAATAGCGCATTTTAGGCAGAATTACTATTATACGCGAGTGTTATAGATGGACACATACTTCATGATACACAGATAAGATTACATGTGGTTTCAACATTTAAGATAAGAAACTTTATGCAATAGTCGTCCAACCTAGACTGTAGAATATTCAAACACCATGTTATTGAGTTTAACACAGCTTATGACATTTTCAAAATGTCATACACTTGAGTATACACAGTACACAACAGATTTAGATTTGCACTATTTTCAAAACATACACTGTACCATTTTTTTTTTTAGATTTCTAATTAAAACACACGTTACAGTAAAGTCTGAGTGGGGGAGTTGTTACTAGAGCTAAGGAAAGACGAGACCAACAGAAAGGACACAATTCTAAAACAATGGAGCAAAACCACGACGAAGAACAGGTGCAACCTGCTGAAGCTATCTCGCTAACCTCGACAATGCGGTTGGGGCTTGAGTCAATTAGCAAAGAAATACGCGACCTCAAAACCGAAATGAAAAAGGACTTAACCACGCTCAAGGAGAAAGTCACGGAGGACGTTAAATCAGAAACCAGCGAGCTTAAGCGAGAAATGTACCAACAACTCTCTGCCAACACCAGTGCTTGAATTGGAATGAAAAAGGTGCCAGTACTCTAAAATCAGCAACTTTTTCAAGTCAATTTTATATATACAGCCCACAAACAAGAATTTGGCTACTATAATGCTGGTGGGTTTGTCTCTTTACTACTGTATATTTTAGAAAGGTTCACTGTACTTAACATTTTTTATGATAGGCAGCGGATATGGCTAAAGCTCAGTAAGGTCAATATTAACTGAAAATATAGCAATCAAAGTCTAGATCTTCTGCTGAAGACACATGAAGCAGAGACCTTTCAGGTGAGAGCCCCTCTGGTGGTGTTCAACATTAATGACAAGGAAACAAAGCTCTGGTCAGAAGCATTTTTTATAAAAAGCTTTAACAAAATTAAGTATTTCTGTACATTTTGAATGCAATCTAACTTTCCAACTCAGAAAACGAAAAAGTGCCAAAAGTCTTCTCACATGGCTGAGCTGCTTTGCAATATACTTCACCACTGAAGAATACAAATATGTATAAAGTAAACTATGATGCAATCTAACTTTCCAACTCAGAAAAATGATAAAGAGCATGAACAAAGAACATGTAAAAACAAATGCAAAATGTGCACAATCTAAAATGAGAAACTGTAACTGCAAGTAACAAAGTCTGAGCCATGGTAAAGAGTTACATTGAACACCAAGCTGATCAGATAACTCCCTGGTTGGTCTGAAGTCCTTCTATCTCCAGGATCTGTACAAATCGGCACATTATGCCAAAAGTCTTCTCACTGGGTGAGCTGCTTTGCAATATACTTCACATTGTTAGAAAAGGCTCCAGAAGGCCTTGGGGACATCAGTATCAGGGGCTGGAGCTGGACAGGCTCTTTCATCAGCACTTCTCCTTCCCTTTGCCAGCCAGGACCTCACATACTGTTCCGGATTGAACTGTCCTAGTGATGGTCCATTACATTTAATGAAAACCAGGCTGGACAGTCGGCTGACAGAGAGAGCATTCCTTTTTGCAGTAAGGATATCGTTCATGCAGCTGAATGCCCGCTCACACTCACTAGTGGAGACAGCGATGGTTCGGACTGCTTTCAGTAGAGGCTCCATGGCAGCAGGTGTACGGGATGCCCTGGTTTCCTTGTATTCGCGAAAGCCCTGAACAGTCTCTCTTCTGTCCACTTTCAGCACTTCGCACAAACGTAGCACCTCTACGTCCCCATACTGTACGTCTAACTCCTCTTCAGGCCAACTTCCAGGATGGATAACTTTCATGTCCTGGATTAGCTGATTGTCCCGGGCCTCCCGGCCATGTAATGGGATTTCTCTTGTGCTGACATGAGAGGAGGTTGTGGAAGTCATTCTGTGTCTCAGATTCTCTACCATACTGCGGAAAAACTGACCTGCATGAATCTGTACAAGCCTGCCATTATCACGCAGGGCAACACCCTTGAAGGACTTCTCAGCTAGAGCTGTATGAACTGTAGTCATGTGTGGGCCAGGCATGGTGACCATGGATTCAAAAACTCGTATTTCTCGAGTTAAGAGCCTATCTGCTGTAGGCAGTGTCATCTCTCTTTTTTGGAGTTGCCGAGAGAGGTCGCTGAGCTCTGTGAGCGCATCGTACATCAGTCCCAGATTGCTGACAAACGTTGCAGATGTGAGCACATCATCCAGGCCCTTGTACTTTGCTCTGTCTCTGGAATCCCTGCTCGTGTCGTTTGCAGCATTTGTGAAGTGATCATGAAGCACTCGGTAGTTTTCCCAGACTGCTCTGACGCTCCTTTAACTTGAAGCCACCCAGCGGATGGACAAAACACGCCCTATCACCAGGAGACGCTGTCCGACTGCTTGCGCACACTGCGCTAACTGCCTCTGATTTTTGGGGGAGGCATGGAACAAGGAATAGAGTTTGTCAAAAAAGATCTGGAAATGATTGAGCCCTGAGACCTCCTTGACCACATCCCCAACTGCCAGCTCTAGACGATGATTGGAGCAGTGCCACACAAACAGGCTTGGGAATTTACTACACAACTGGGTAGCAACGCCTGTTCTCTTCCCTAGCATGACTGAAGCCCCATCACATGCAAAAGAAACGAAACACTGACCTAAAAAGTCCTCGTTAAAATCTCTTCCAAGACACTCCATTAACGCCTTTGTGATGTCATCAGCCGTTGTTCCATCCATCTCGATCAGCTCCCAAAAAAACGTTTCGGGCTCAGCATCAGCTAATGCTGAGCGTAGACACACAACAAGCACCGTGTTACCACTAATAGTGGTAGATTCATCGACCAAAACACAGAGTTTTCTTTGGTTTTCTGTAATGTCTTTTGCCATTTTTTTCTTCAGCTCATGAGCTATGTGGTCGATGATTTCGCCACAGGTTTTATTGGAGTGCAAAACCCTGCCCACGTTCAGCCCATTCAGTTTCTGTACATTCAAATCAATTGGCATGTCTGTGAATGGCCGGCTATGTTTGCCAATTTTATATGCCGTTCGAAAAACTCTGATAGTGGTGTCTAATTCAGATTTATGCATAGACTGCACTTGATGTTGAATAGTTTCACGTGAAGCAGATGTAAGGATGTCAGCAGCTTTTACATGGGCTTGTGATTCTTTATGTTCTTTGATTTTTTTTTTCTCAGGCTAGCTTGTTGTTTGCCCTTGTCAACACCGAAATGAGACACTGCACACTCACCCCATTCAGTTGACAGTTTCAGTCCTTGTCCAGTGTGTATTCCCAAAGATTTGACATCTCTGCATATCCGACATCCTAGCTTCTTATCTTTAAGAAGGAGCCATGCATTGGTCTTGCAAAAATATTGCACCTGGTCCGTTGTCCAGCAGTCAGGTGCATCGCTTTGCCCGGTGTTGGTGGTGGCAGTTGAGCCAGCAGCAGCTAACTTTAGAGGCTCTGGAGGAGGCGGCGGAGCTAGTGCTAATGCTAATGCACTAGAACTTGGAGCAGGAGGATCAACCAAAGAAAGCTCCCCATCAGACACAATTTCCAACACAG